GAGCATTTCACTGACAGACACAGACAGCAATAAAAACCCGAAAGAGATTTAACCCTTGCCTATGTTTTGGCTGGAATAGGCCTTTAATTAAACACAGGTTGAGCACCAACCCCGCCCCACCCCCTCATGATTGTTCTATCCTTCCATCGGGGATTACCTGAACATTCTGCTCCTAGAAGCAGATCTCCAACCCCCAAATAGTGCAAAAAATAACAACAAATTCTACGTTTCCAAATAAAAAAAACCGTCTCTGGCGCAGAGCAGCAAATTATGGCACGTGGAGTCAGTCGCTGTGACCTTCCTCCTGAAAGGTGTCCCCGTCTTCTCCAATAATAAATACAATATGGTATGCTCCGCCTCCTCTGGATACAACGCGGCCTGCGAAGTCCTAAGAAAAGAAAACCTGCACTAAAGCATCCCGAAATCTTACATCGCGCGTCTTCATAAAAATAATCATCGATGCCGAAGACAGAGAAACGTATAAATAGGAAACAATAAAAAAAAAACAGAAGATATTGCAAAGTGATTAAAAAACGTGTGCGGAGTCCGTGTGCCGGGTGTGTTGTCCCGGAGTGTTACCGATATTGATGTCCTCAGCAGTATTCGCTGCATACCTAATAATGGGGGGCTTCAGTATCCGTTCTTCCTTTGTTGTCCAGCATTACAATGGAGGTTTGGCCATCTGAGATCTATTGCCTTAACAGTCACATACGTGTCACCCTAGAGCAGCCTTTCTCAAACTGGGTTCCCCCTCTCAGCCAGCTTTCAGTGGAAGCCTAGGGTTCCCTCAAAGGCTTCTGAGAATTCCTACGGAGGTTACTAGGGGTTCAGCCTTTCTCAGCTAGGTTTCGGTGGAAGCCTAGGGTTCCTTCAAAGGCTTCTTAGGGTTCCTCCAGAGGATACTAGGGGATCGGCCTTTCTCAGCCAGGTTTCACTGGAACACTAGGGTTCCTTCAAAGGCTTCTGGAGGTTCCTCCAGAGGTTACTAGGGGTTCAGCCTTTCTCAGCTAGGTTTCGGTGGAAGCCTAGGGTTCCTTCAAAGGCTTCTTAGGGTTCCTCCAGAGGATACTAGGGGATCGGCCTTTCTCAGCCAGGTTTCAGTGGAACACAAGGGTTCCTTCAAAGGCTTCTGAGGGTTCCTACGGAGGTTACTAGGGGTTCAGCCTTTCTCAGCTAGGTTTCCGGTGGAAGCCTAGGGTTCCTTCAAAGGTTTCTAAGAGTTCCTCCAGAGGCTACTAGCGGATCGGCCTTTCTCAGCTAGGTTTTGGTGGAACCCTCGGGTTCCTTCAAAGGCTTCTGAAGGCTTCTCTAAAGGATACTAGAGGATCGGTCTTTCTCAGCCAGGTTTCAGGGGAACCCAAGAGTTCCTTCAAAGGCTTCTGGAGGTTCCTCCAGAGATTACTAGGGGTTCAGTCTTTCTCAGCTAGGTTTTAGTTGAACCCTAGGCGTCTTTCAAAGGCTTCTAAGAATTCCGCCAGAGATTACGAAGGGTTCAGCCTTTCTCAGCTCAGTGGAAGTCTAGGGTTGTTTTAAAGGCTTCTAAGGATTCCTTCTTAGATTACTAGGGGTTCAGCCTTACTCAGCGAGGTTTCAGTGGAAGCTTATGGTTCCTTCGAAGGCTTCTGGAGGTTCCTCGGGAGGCTACTAGGGGTTCCTTGAGCGATGAACAACGCCTGTCATATAGGAGACCACTGATCTTTTTGGCTATCTGTAAAGAGGCATTCTTCCCACTGACCACCATTCTAAGAAGGTCCTTCTCCACTGACTGCCAGTGTAAAAGTGTCCTTCTCTCCATGACCACCACACTAAACTGGTGTTTCTCCACTGACTACCTTATAAGAGAATCCTTCTTCCCCTCACCATCAATCTAAGGGCCAATCTCTACTGAATAGCAATGAAAGGGGGGCCTTCTTCACTGACCACTAATGTATGGGGGTACTTCTCTACTGACTGCTAATTTAAGAGGGCGCTTCTCCACTGACTACCAATGTAATGGGGCCTTCTTCCCTCACCACAAATGTAAGAGGGTCCTTCTCCCCCCGACCACCAAACTAAGGGGACCCTTCTTCATATCAATGTAAGGGGGCCTTTCTTACTGTCCACCAATGTAAAAGGGTCCTTCTCTACTGACCACCAATTTGAGGCAGCATGCATATAAAGCAGCCCCAGGTGTCTAATACACTATGAATTCCACATCCTTTAGGGTTTTATTTATTCCTAAAACATATTCTGAAAGTTACTTAGAGGTTTCCTTGAAAAGATGTTCAAAAAGGTTGAGAAAGGCTGCCCTGGAGGGATAAAGTGTTTTTCTACACCCATGAGAGCTAGAAATGGACCACCCTAGAGGGATAAAGTATCATTTTAGGACTGAGATCCGGAATCGGACCACCCTAGTGGAACAAAGTGTCATTGTACCCCTATAAGATTCCAAACTCGATCACCCTAAAGGGACAAAGCGTCATTGTATGCCCATGAGCTCTAGAACTGGACCACCCTAGGGTAAAAAGTGTCACCATACGCCTGTGAGATCCAAAACTGGACCACCCTAGAGGGACAAAGTGTCATTGTATGCCCGTGAGATCCAGAACCTGACCATCTTCAGCCTGTTCCAGAAAGCTCACACCTTTAAGAGCACAGGAGGAGGCCGATACAGACGCCAACAGAGTCCTTTCTATATAAATATCTTATTTACAAGACACCCGAGAGTCTCTATGCGTCGTCTGCGGCGTCTGGAACCAAAAAAAATAAATATTCTGCTCTCTTATCGCCTTTTTCCCTTCGGGTCCTGGCCGCCGGGCGAAGGTCGGTATAATTGGCACATCCTAGAAGAGGAGGATTCAGGGCTCAGCTTCCCTCCTCGGTAGAGCGGATCTCCGATTTCAGTTTGACAAACTCCCGGGCCACCTCGTCGTTGGTCCGCTGGGACAGGATGCGCAGGATGGTGAGTCCGGTCTCATCCATGTGGATGCGGCGGCCCAGCGGGCACCAGCAGGCGCAGCTGCCTTTGTCCGCGATGTCACGCAGCTGGATGATGGCGATTCCCAGTACGTGGTCCTCTCGGGCGAAGCAATAGTCCTTCACGCAGACCTGAAGCTCGTAACACTCCGGACCGTCCTCATTGCCCAGAATACTAAAGAAAGGGGAAAAAGAAAAGTCAATATCCACCCACAATGTCACCGTAAGCTATTGGAAGTCATAAACAGGCATATACAAAAGTATAGGCCCCCTTAAGAGCCAAAAAGTACCGGCACCCCTAGGCAGATGATTATTTTTCAAAATAAACTTACAAGACATGTCACTTTCCCACACAGAGTCTCGTACTAGACCACTGTCTGCCCCATGTGTACTTCCCTCATATGTGCCCACTTCTGGGAATGAGGAGCATGTGACCTGCACTAAGATCACACCAACCCTGTGCTAAATTCCTGGGTCTGTATACCTGCTGTGCCCATTATGAGGGGTTCCCACCATCCCTGTGCTGAGTTCCCGGGTCTGTACACCTGCTGTGCCCATTATGAGGAGCTCCCACCATCCCTGTGCTGAGTTCCCGGGTCTGTACACCCGCTGTGCCCATTTTGAGGGGCTCCCGCTTCCCCTCAGTTGGGTGGGAACATCCAAAACTTCCAGGAGAAGAACAACAGTTGGAAACTATAGCTGGCTGGGGTGCCCAATACATTCACGAAGGTAGTAGGGTGACTCGGCCCAGCTTGTCCTACCTATATCAGTTTAGAGAGGACTGATCCTTTAACCTATAAGCCAAGTAGAGTTCAGGTAGGTGGTCAGGAGGTGGGATAAATAACACGGGAGGACTACCCCATTTAAAATGACCCTTATACATAATGTATATGCCCATATTTCACCCGCAACTCACAAGTGGAAGGTCTCATTGTATTTAGGGGCCCAGTTGTTGCTCTTGGACTTGGTGGTAAACTTCCTCTTCTTGTCGCTCAGGTGAGGTCCAATCACAGTGGCCTCCACAAAGGGTCGGAACATGCCGGTCGTCTGCCACTTGAGGTCATTCGCAGCGACCACTGCCAGGGAAAAGTACAGAGAACAATGTAAGGAGACAGCGCCTCCATAGACGGACACAAGTACTGCACCCTACCCAACGACCATTAATATTATTGTTATTTTTTAAAGAAGGCCGAATTCTGATTTTAATTGTACATTCCAGGGGAAAAAAAATGGAACAGGCCAATGAATACATGTTAAATGGTAGTGTGCAGGTGGGGTCTCTATGGCTGTTCGCAGATAGGGGGAAGCCCACAAGGAGAGCGTCATGAAGACATCATTGGGGAGGGGGGGGGTCTATCTACTGCAGTGGTTGTCAATCTACTAGGTATAGGGGGGTCTCAGCTGCAGCTTGTGGTGTCACCAACGGGCTGTACATAATGTTCTGTATACATACAAGCTTGGTCGGAGGCTAAAGACATGCTACAGGAGACAGCAAAGGACTAGGGACATGATTCATCAGACCAGATGAGATTTTACCCCTATACAAATCAATGCCCCCACTACTGATTGCTGGGGTACTGGGGCCGCACAACAAGTAACAGGTGGGGCACCAGGGATCTAAAATGCAATTAAATAAAAGGAGGACTCCTCCTCTGGAGCATTATCATTGCCTTACCCTTCACAGTCACCTTCTGCTCGCCAGTTCCTGGATGTGTAAACAGGTCGATCTGTATGGACACCTCTCCCACTGGATCATCCACACCAGAGCCTGGGACAGACAGACAGACAGACAGACAGGATTCTAGTCAACTTTAGATATGTGAGACCAAAACTGAGTTATTTCACATAGGTGGGTGCGTTCTAGAGCAAGCATGCAGTGTCCATGTTGTTTCAGCCCACGTTCTCTACCACCAGGAGACCATACCTGCCCTGGGCTGCTATCAAAGTATCTCCCTCTCACCCTCAGAGGGAGTGTGACCACTACTCGGCACCAGTAGGGATTATACGTTCCTGTCCCTGCAACGGATATATGAGATTTGGTTCTTTTGGCCTTACAACTGCTTATGTTGGGACAATCTCCTGGTGCTATTGTTCCCTTCCACTACCTATTCTATCTCACTGTACATTAATGAGAAGTGGAAGGCCAAGGCAGTTCTGTCCAGGCTGGCAAAGTTTGGTAAATAATGTGGTGAAACAAGAAAACAGGAACCTTGCTGCACTCCTTACCGGGATTCCCATGAAGAAATACAAGCGGGTGCTCGGAATGACTGCGGATGGCGCCGTCACATGTAGATAGGTGAAGAATGTCACCAGCACACCACAACGATTCAATGAACACTTGATTGCTGTCATCATCGTTGTGGTGTGCTGGTGACATTCTTCAACCAACCATGTGGTGAAGACCCAACAAGTAGATCTTCTCCCCTACACTGTATGTCTTCTCCTTCATCGGTATCTATTAGTGGTTGAGCTCATCGAAATTGAACATCGTGGAGGTCACAAGTTGAAGAGTCCAGCTCACCTTGCTGCTCCCTGCCAACCCATCAGATCCTCCCTTTGTATATTCTATTCAGAACTGGTGCCATGAAAAAAAAGGAAGTTGATTTGTTGAGGAGGTCAACACAAATTGTTTCTTTCTGAAGACACATGAATGTCTGGCTGAGCTCCTGTGGTCTTCAATTAGCTCCTTGGATGGGCGCAGACCAATGGGCACCACTAATAAGCTGCAATACTGATGATAGCAAAGACTTCCATTTTTCTTCCCTCCAAGGATGCAGTTATAAGGCCATAAGAACCAAATCTCATACTCCAATCACAGGGAGATGAAGGTATAATCCCCAAGTGGCTGTTTATGTCTACCAAGGACTCTGAAGGTGAAGGTTTATGTCTACCAAGGACTCTGAAGGTGAAGGTTTATGTCTACCAAGGACTCTGAAGGTGAAGGTTTATGTCTACCAAGGACTCTTTGCCACGTGGGCCGAGTAGTTGCCTCACTCCCTCTGCTGGTGAGTGAAATATTCCTTCACTGGCCCCAACATGGAGATGGAGCCAGGAACTGTAATTGTGGGATCCCGCAACTGAGATCCCAGATAGTTATAAGAAGCCGGCCAGGAACTAGGCCCAACAAAGATCACTTATAACTGAGGCATCAGCTCTGGGTGGTCCACACCTTTAGGTGGGTCTACTCTAGGAGAAAGCGAGTCTACCCCCCTATAAGATGGTGAAACTGGAATCTAAGGGAATACAGGAACTACAAGGATACTGCTAAACATACCCTCCTTGGGAGGAACGTCCTCGTTAGCTGTATACCTAATACCCTTCCCATCATGTACTGAGACGTGAGAGACGGCAGGCAGAGAGAGAGGAAGAGACGGTTATACAGACATGAAGCTGGAACACAGTATACACACAACACCCCAATACTGAGAGACAATGGACCGTTCAGTACAGGTCAGAGGTCACAGAGTGCCAAGGTTGTATAATACCCAAAACAGGATCAAGATGTCCAAAAGATTCAGAGAAAACAAATCAGCTATGGCGGCTGGTTGACCCAGCACTGGGTACTAGGTGTTCTGTCACTCATGGGCTCCAGAGCTTCCCACTGTACACCCGCTGTGCCCATTATGAGGGGCTCCCACCATCCCTGTGCTGAGTTCCCGGGTCTGTACACCTGCTGTGCTCATTATTAGCGGAAACTTGGGTGGAGACATCCAAAACTCCCAGCTGGTCAGGAACAAAGCCATGCTGGAGTATCCAAGTCATATATGAAGCCAAGGGCTGACTCAGACCACCTATAGCTGAAATGCAGTACATAAATTATACGAGAGGGAGCCATGCAGTACATGGATTACACCACCAGAGGGAGCCATGCAATACATGGATTACACCACCAGAGAGAGCCATGCAGTACATGGATTCCACCACCAGAGGGAGCCATGCAGTACATGGATTACACCACCAGAGGGAGCCATGCAATACATGGATTACACCACCAGAGGAAGCCATGCGGTACATACATTATACGAGAGGGAGCCATGCAGTACATGGATTACACCACCAGAGGGAGCCATGCAGTATATAGACATCCAATGTAACACCAACTATGAACTCACCTTGCGCCGTCTGTGATTGCACAAAGGTCTTGATGAGCGTGTCTGTGGTCTGCGTATAGAGCGAGAGGGCGTAGCGCAGAGATTGCAGCTCCGGGCTCTTCTCCAGGAACGTCTTCTTCAGGCCGTTTCCTCCAGCGTGAAAATATTGCTGTGCAGGAAAAAGAAGGTGTTCCGATGGTAACCCAATATGCCACCGTCTGTGTTTAACTTCACAACCAATAAGATCCCAGCCATCATTATCCGCTGGATGTCAGAAAATGACTGCGCTGGACTTCCTGGACTGAGATGCTGGCTCAGGTATCTATGCCGTTTTTGACATTGCTGACAAATGTCTGGCACAGATCAGCCCCTGCAGCAGCCTGGTGACTGGCATAAAAGTTACAATGTTACAGTCTGATCACTGGGGGGGAGGGGAGACTGAGGACATGCTTCCTCCTGCGGGCAGCAGATTTATGACATCATCTCAGCCTAGGCATAGTCACCATTACGGACTCGTAATGCAGTTCTGCAAGAAGCGGGAGAGCCCCGGCTGTACCATCCCCCGTACCAAACGGACTTATTGCTGTACGGTTTTCCTTGTCCATGCAGTCATACTCATCCCCGGGTTTCCAGCTCTCAGCAGGTAAGTTATAAATGCCAAAATTCTTATTTCACCATTTTCCCGGGAACAACATTGATTCTGATGTGTATGTACTCCGGGGGATATACTTTCCCTCATTGAGCAGCGGAGATATTCAGGGGTCTGTTTATAAACAATTCGCCCCGCGTCTGAGGCAAGGACGAACGTTCTCAGATAGATTTTAGTTTCGAGGTGAATGTAACCAGTGGCGTAACAATCGCCATAGCGACCCAGGCGGCCGCTATGGGGCCCGGGCACAGGGGGGCCCAGGCCAAGACATCCCTCTGATGCCGTGTGGGCCGCCTGGGTCGCTATGGCATGTAAGGGTGCTGTCACTGACGCAGCTCAGCAGCGGCGTTTTCCCCTCACAGCCGCTGCGGATCTGTGTCAGTGACAGCCAGCAGCTACGGCGGAAGAGGCCGGCGTTCGCAGTGAAGGAGCAGGCGGGGCCCGCCTAAGAGCAACCCCGCCTCCTCTTACATCACTGGTCAGCGACCTAAGAGCAGGTGGGGCCCGTCGATAGAAGCGGAGGCGGGGCCCAGGGACAGAATAGGAGGCGGGGGCCCGGCGACCACGGAGGCGGACAGCGCTGAAAGGTAAGAGGTGTGCAGCCCATCTGAGACCCTGCAGAGCCCACTATAGAGCGTCTATGGTGGGCTCTGCAGGGTCACTCTCAGGTGGGCTGTTTAGTATATCAGGTGGGCTCTGCAAGTGGCATAACTAGCAATCACGGGGCCCCATACAACATTTTGCTATGGGGCCCTGTGATTTATAGTTACGCCCCTGAATGTAACATTCGGGAAATATCACATGATGAGCGCCCCCCACCGGACGGAGCAGAGGAAATGAGCCATGGAAAATTCAAAACAATATTGATATTTGTGTCGGGCGTACCTTGATCGTATCCAGAGCCAGATCCATGACCGCACATTGCTTTGGGGTCAGACTCCGAGTCTCTTCTCGAACCATGTGATCCTGGAACACCAATAAGAAAAAGTCACCATCACGGCACAGACCGGCCACCGCCACTAGAGGGCTCCGGAGCTCTCAGCCGGACAAATCTCCATAATCATCACACATGAGACAGGAACACCAACCGGACATCCTTCAGTCTGACTCGGAGAAGATCATTTAGAAGGAAGTTTTTGCACAAGTATATGAAACCGCGGAACTTTGTATTTTATTTTTATGTTACTTATAATTCTATGAATTTAGAAGTAGACATTGGAGGATGTCCGGCCATTCAAGCCATCTGTAAACCCCATTGGGCCCGGGATTATGGAGGTGGACCTTACTATAAGTGACGGTTACAGTGATAGACTGCCCAATGTTCCAGATACAGATGTAGACTGTTGGGATGAATCTTATTCTGGTTTCTTATATCTCGTGTACACTCCAATATTGTGGCCCCCCTTCTTCAGTCCCTGCGTCTTGGAGATCTGGGAGTTCCTCGTCATCTAGGGTTGTCCTTGCGCCACCTGCATGGAACCTCTGGGCCTCAATATAAAGCAGCCATTCTCAAACAGGGTTCTAAGGTTCCTTCAGAGGTTGCTACAGGTTCCTTGAGCAATGTCTGACTACCAATTAGGTATCTGTAAGGGGGGGCATTGTCCCGAATTACCACCAACGTAAGATGCACCAGTGTACTGGGGCCCATCACTACCTGTGTAAGGGGGTCACTCTACTAGGGCACCTCACTACCTGTGTAAGGGGTCACTCTACTAGGGCACCTCACTACCTGTGTAAGGGGGTCACTCTACTAGGGCACCTCACTACCTGTGTAAGGGGGTCACTCTACTAGGGCACCTTACTACCTGTGTAAGGGGGTCACTCTACTAGGACACCTCACTACCTGTGTAAGGGGGTCACTCTACTAGGACACCTAACTACCTGTGTAAGGGGGTCACTATACTACGGCACCTCACTACCTGTGTAAGGGGTCACTCTACTAGGGCACCTTACTACCTGTGTAAGGGGGTCACTCTACTACGGCCCCTCACTACCTGTGTAAGGGGGTCCCTCTACTACGCACCTCACTACCTGTGTAAGGGGTCACTCTACTAGGGCACCTTACTACCTGTGTAAGGGGGTCACTCTACTACGGCCCCTCACTACCTGTGTAAGGGGGTCCCTCTACTACGCACCTCACTACCTGTGTAAGGGGTCACTCTACTAGGGCACCTTACTACCTGTGTAAGGGGGTCACTCTACTACGGCCCCTCACTACCTGTGTAAGGGGGTCCCTCTACTACGCACCTCACTACCTGTGTAAGGGGTCACTCTACTAGGGCACCTTACTACCTGTGTAAGGGGGTCACTCTACTACGGCCCCTCACTACCTGTGTAAGGGGGTCCCTCTACTACGCACCTCACTACCTGTGTAAGGGGTCACTCTACTAGGGCACCTTACTACCTGTGTAAGGGGGTCACTCTACTACGGCCCCTCACTACCTGTGTAAGGGGGTCCCTCTACTACGCACCTCACTACCTGTGTAAGGGGTCACTCTACTAGGGCACCTTACTACCTGTGTAAGGGGGTCACTCTACTACGGCCCCTCACTACCTGTGTAAGGGGGTCCCTCTACTACGCACCTCACTACCTGTGTAAGGGGTCACTCTACTAGGGCACCTTACTACCTGTGTAAGGGGGTCACTCTACTACGGCCCCTCACTACCTGTGTAAGGGGGTCCCTCTACTACGCACCTCACTACCTGTGTAAGGGGTCACTCTACTAGGGCACCTTACTACCTGTGTAAGGGGGTCACTCTACTACGGCCCCTCACTACCTGTGTAAGGGGGTCCCTCTACTACGCACCTCACTACCTGTGTAAGGGGTCACTCTACTAGGGCACCTTACTACCTGTGTAAGGGGGTCACTCTACTACGGCCCCTCACTACCTGTGTAAGGGGGTCCCTCTACTACGCACCTCACTACCTGTGTAAGGGGTCACTCTACTAGGGCACCTTACTACCTGTGTAAGGGGGTCACTCTACTACGGCCCCTCACTACCTGTGTAAGGGGGTCCCTCTACTACGCACCTCACTACCTGTGTAAGGGGTCACTCTACTAGGGCACCTTACTACCTGTGTAAGGGGGTCACTCTACTACGGCCCCTCACTACCTGTGTAAGGGGGTCCCTCTACTACGCACCTCACTACCTGTGTAAGGGGTCACTCTACTAGGGCACCTTACTACCTGTGTAAGGGGGTCACTCTACTACGGCCCCTCACTACCTGTGTAAGGGGGTCCCTCTACTACGCACCTCACTACCTGTGTAAGGGGTCACTCTACTAGGGCACCTTACTACCTGTGTAAGGGGGTCACTCTACTACGGCCCCTCACTACCTGTGTAAGGGGGTCCCTCTACTACGCACCTCACTACCTGTGTAAGGGGTCACTCTACTAGGGCACCTTACTACCTGTGTAAGGGGGTCACTCTACTACGGCCCCTCACTACCTGTGTAAGGGGGTCCCTCTACTACGCACCTCACTACCTGTGTAAGGGGTCACTCTACTAGGGCACCTTACTACCTGTGTAAGGGGGTCACTCTACTACGGCCCCTCACTACCTGTGTAAGGGGGTCCCTCTACTACGCACCTCACTACCTGTGTAAGGGGTCACTCTACTAGGGCACCTTACTACCTGTGTAAGGGGGTCACTCTACTAGGGCTCATCACTACCTGTGTAAGGGGTTACTCTACTAGGGCACCTCACTACCTGTGTAAGGGGGTGACTCTACTAGGACACCTCACTACCTGTGTAAGGGGGTCACTCTACTAGGACACCTCACTACCTGTGTAGGGGGTCACTCTACTAGGGCACCTCACTACCTGTGTAAGGGGGTCACTCTACTAGGGCACCTCACTACCTGTGTAAGGGGGTCACTCTACTAGGGCACCTCACTACCTGTGTAAGGGGTCACTCTACTACGGCACCTCACTACCTGTGTAAGGGGGTCACTCTACTAGGCACCTCACTACCTGTGTAAGGGGGTCACTCTACTAGGGCACCTCACTACCTGTGTAAGGGGGTCACTCTACTAGGCACCTCACTACCTGTGTAAGGGGGTCACTCTACTAGGGCACCTCACTACCTGTGTAAGGGGGTCACTCTACTAGGCACCTCACTACCTGTGTAAGGGGGTCACTCTACTAGGGCACCTCACTACCTGTGTAAGGGGGTCACTCTACTAGGGCACCTCACTACCTGTGTAAGGGGGTCACTCTACTACGGCACCTCACTACCTGTGTAAGGGGGTCACTCTACTAGGCACCTCACTACCTGTGTAAGGGGGTCACTCTACTAGGGCACCTCACTACCTGTGTAAGGGGGTCACTCTACTAGGGCACCTCACTACCTGTGTAAGGGGGTCACTCTACTAGGCACCTCACTACCTGTGTAAGGGGGTCACTCTACTAGGGCACCTCACTACCTGTGTAAGGGGGTCACTCTACTAGGGCACCTCACTACCTGTGTAAGGGGGTCACTCTACTAGGCACCTCACTACCTGTGTAAGGGGGTCACTCTACTAGGGCACCTCACTACCTGTGTAAGGGGGTCACTCTACTAGGCACCTCACTACCTGTGTAAGGGGGTCACTCTACTAGGGCACCTCACTACCTGTGTAAGGGGGTCACTCTACTAGGCACCTCACTACCTGTGTAAGGGGGTCACTCTACTAGGGCACCTCACTACCTGTGTAAGGGGGTCACTCTACTAGGACACCTCACTACCTGTGTAAGGGGTCACTCTACGAAGGCTTTGCTGATTTCTTTTAATGCACAATGCAGCTTCTCTGCTCCTTTTACTTACTGATATACATGTTGTGCCAAATATCAGACGGGTTTTCTCCCTGTCCAGTTCTCAACCTTTTTTTTTTATGTCACACTTTTATATATTATTATTAGGGATGCACCGATACCGATACTAGTATCTGTACTCACCCAAATGCTTCCATACTTTCCCCGATACCAGAACTTCCGGTCAGAGGGAGATTTCTTCTGACTGGCAGTGCCGCAAGGGAACATGGAGCCGGCTTACCGGTCAATCAGGAACCCGGGAGGGCGGTAATGACACAGCCCGGCTTCTTGATTGCCGGGCTTCATGCTAGCAGAAGCATCGGTGCATCCCTACATTACTATCATCATAAACTTTTATAGACTAGAGAAGATCAAAGTGATACATTGTAACCAAAGAACCATCACTGGGTAACACAAGTGGGTAAAAACGTCTCAAATACACAAAATCAGAAGATAAACTTTATACACACATCACATCGAGCTACATCACTGTAATAAGGCCACAGCACACACATCAGCATGCTCTGCAGACATCTAGAACATTCCGTGTAAAGGTGAGGTCAGGTGACATTTCACGACGTGTTATGCCCAACCGGGAGCAGTCACGTGACAGTTTGTGCCGCTGTGCGCAATCAAGAAGCGTAGACATGATATCATTGGCTGTTAAAGTGACATTAAACCTCTTCCTGTTGTGCTGGCTCAGGTTGTGAACCTGCACACAGACACCGTGTATCCATTCCAGAGACAAGGCAGTCTGCTGCAAAACAGAAGTTCTCCCCCAGCATGAGAAGAGATTCAGATTTAAAAGGAAGAGCAGCAAAGAGAAGGGAAACTACCATGGATTACAGTAAGGCGCACATTACAGTATTGTTTTATGTTAAAAAAATCTGAGGGTTTAATGTCCCTTTAACATTTATAAGCCAACATTCCTTGTTGATCCAGGGGATATCCGATTGCCTCAGGGCAGAATAGGCACTCCAGCCATTGTGGAACTACAAGTCCAATAAGGCATTGCAAGACTGCAAGCATGGCTCCCAGAGGCAGAGGGATGATGGGATTTGTTATTTCAAGACAGCCGGCGTGCGGAGGTATCTTACCCCATGCCTTAGGGAATCATTTTTTTGCAGCAAATTGCACCATATATTATAAGAGGTTTTTTTTGCCTTTCTCTGGTTCACCTGTGGCAATTGGGTTCTGTAACAATGTACGAATTCATTTTTTCTATGTGTGTCTTTTTTTAACCTGACGATGTAACTATGTACCAAGCTGTCGGCATGCCGTGTGCAACACAAAGAAAACACTGTCATGTGACCTTGGCAATGGAAAGCTGCAAACGAGCGCAATCATGTGACATTTCATGCAATGAACGCGGGGGGAGGAGGAGAGAGTGAAAATTCAGTGATGGGTTTTGGTGAGCCAATGAAATCACACAAAGTCTGAGTGTTCATCGGAGGCGCCGTCCTCTCTGGGACATCTACGAGAAGACTTCAGCCCAACTTTTAGCTGGATGGCTTGGCAAGATTTAGGACTTTTGTCAGATTTGTATTGCTGTAACATATTCCCAATGGGAGGAGATTTCCTTTAATTTCCTGTCCTACTGACACCTTTCACTTAGACGGGAAGTGAGGGAACATTTCCCCAATGGGGGACATGGATAGCAATAAAAATGGTTCTAATATTCCCACGCTCAATAAAAAAAGATTTTTTTTTTATCACTTCCCGTGTCCTTGTTGAGATCAAGAGACCATAAAACCAGTTGCACATTTCTCTGTTCAAAGTTTAGTGGGCAGGCTCTTGGGAGGAGTTATGCAAATATCAAAATGCCTTGATGGGTGGGTGTCGGTCTGGAGGAGTGGGCGTTTCTAGGCAGGCTGCATTGGCATGCAGAGCGCCCCAGGTAACGCCCACATGTGATGCGGAGCCTTCATGATTGCAAGAACTGAAATTCAATGAATGAAAGGGGCGGGGCCTGGGACAGTCACCCCATCCGGGACACAGGCAGCAATAAAAAATCTTGAGGTTCCCATCTCCATCCACAATGAAATAGAACGTTTGTACTTACCTTAAAAACCTTTTTCTAGAGTCCGATGAGGGACAAATGAATTAACTATTGGGTTACACGGCCGCCTACAGGAGCAATGGACACAAAACTCCCCAAAAAACTGTGGGCCAGCCCAGGATAACCCTTCATCTTCCCAGCATGCCTCAGTTTGTAGCGAGCAGTACCAGGAGTACCCATAATACAGATCTGTGTCCCTCAGGATTTTATTATGAGTACACAAATCTGTTTTTCTTTCTCGTCCATTGAAGGACACAGAAGTCCTCAACCTTCAGGATGTCCAGAAACAGACCAATGGAGGATTGGACAACAAAGCAAACTAATGCCAACAGGCCCATTGTTACATAGTATTTGAGGTTGAATAAAGACATAAGTCCATCAAGTCCAACCTATTGCGTGTATGCATTTATGAGCAGGTGTGTGCATGTATACGTGTCCATGTGTGATTTTTCTCTTAGCAATACCTGTACCCCTGTATGTTCTGGTCTCCCAGGAACTCGTCCAGGAGTCTCTTGAATGCTTCCGCACTCTTAGCTGAGATCACTTCCTGTGGCAGCGAGTTCCAGACCCTAACCACTCTAACTGTGAAGAAATTGTGTGTACTCCGCACTGTGTGGTGAAATTTTTTTTCCACCAATTTTTGGTTGTGCCCTCTGGTCTTTGTTACGGAGCTGACCGTAAACAGTTTGTTACTGAGGTTGCTGTCACCCTTGAATAGTTTATACATGAAAATCATGTCCCCCCTTAATCTCCTAACCTCCAACGAGAACATATTTAATTTTAACAACCTTGTTTCATAGTTCAGATCCTCGAACCCCTTAAAGAGTTTGGTTGCCCTCTTCTGGACTTTTTCCAGCTCAAGGACATCCTTTCTGAGTATTGGTGACCAAAACTGGACTGCATACTTTAGATGTAAAAATGTAAACAGGAGGAAGTGGGGGTTGCCCGCAGCTCAAAGATCTGTCTGAAGGACCAGTAACCTAAAGCTGCAACACTCAAGAGGCCCTCACAGATCTCCATTGCAGATGGAAAATGCTAGAAGAAAAATTGGAAAGAGAGTTTCCCAGCAAAGATGAAGAAAAGAGAAATCCAACTCCCTAGGACAATGGGGAAAAACCGAGGCATGATGGAAATGGGAGGTGTTATCCAGGACTGACCTATAGTTTGCCAGTGTTCAATCCTCCTGTAGGTGGCAGTGTAACCCAACTTCCAATGACTTTGTGTGTCACTCAATGGACAAGAAAGAAAAGCTTTTTCTAAAATTTCACTTTGATTTTGAAAGCCAGCGTTCCTTTCCCAGGTTTTAACTCGTAGTAGTAGAAGAACCCGGGGGAGGGGAGTGACTCAGCCTGACCCACGACAGGTTGTTAACATGGAGAGATCCTTCAAGACGACGTTGAGGGACATTGGAGGCATGCAGTGAGGGACAAGACACGCTAATCACATGCTAAGCTCGAGGAAGGCTACAAGCGGCACACAACAATGAACTATACCTTCAGCTTTGATAACTGGCCCAGTTCCTTTGCTGCAGTGAAAATCAACTGAGTCCCCTGAGAGCCCGGGGAGGGGAGAGAAGAGAACATGTTATAGTCAGGAATCATCTTCCATATTCACCGTAAAGGTCTCAGCCCCGACCTAAGGACGAGCCCGGATAGTGACTACACACACACACCCAATCAGATTCTCCAATCTGCAGGGCCCCAATTATTTTACAGGTATGCTACCTGGAGGGCGGTCTACTTCCTGCCAGTGGATAGCAGACCAGGAACTGTCAGTGTCTGTTCTGTCTCTTTGCTGGTGGGTACCCAATCAAGTGTTCACTCAGCACAAAGATGCACACGTGTGGCAGCACCACACATAAAGTTGACCTTCCACAACAGGTACCTGCACCACCCCCTTCTCAACACAAATGGTTTAAAAAGCCTGCCCCTTCCCCAAAAAAAACCACTTGTGTTGAGAGGAGGGGGCAGGCAAAAATGCAGACCTGCCATTGGCTTTAAGAGCAGACACCACAAGATGCCTTCCATTAACCAGAAAAAAAAAGTCGCTTGTGCCCATCTCTGATTTAGTTTTCTTGAATCCATGGCATTCCACCGTCTAATGAGAGAGCCGCCCAAGAAGAGCACATTGATCGGGTGGGCCATGGGCAGCTGGTGGAGTTTAGCCCCAAAGTCAGGCCCCGGTAACAAAGGGAAGCCAAGTCAGAGAGGGGCACAGAGTCGGCCTCAGTGGCTAACACAGTTTGTAGGCACTTTTCTGGAAAAATGGAGAACAGATTCTCCAACCGATGATCGGCCGGATTCAAGTAACACAATTAAATTAAAGTGAGCTTAAAGTGACATTAAACCCTCAGATTTTTTTTAACATAAACCAATACTGTAATGTGCGCCTTACTGTAATCCATGGTTGTTTCCCTTCTCTATGCTGCTCTTCCTTTTAAATCCTCATGTCTTCTCATGCTCTGCAGAACTTCCCTTTGCAGCTGACTGCCTCTTCCTGTAGTGCTGGCTCAGGTTACAAGCCTATAGAAACCTATACACGGACACCGTGTATCCATTCCTGAGACAAGGCAGTCTGCTGCAAAACAGAAGGTCTGCCCAGCATGAGAACAGATACAAATTTAAAAGGAAGAGCAGCAAAGAGAAGGGAAACTACCATGGATTACAGTAAGGCGCACATTACAGTATTGTTTTATGTTAAAAAATCTGAGGGTTTAATGTCACTTTAAGGTATGCTAAAGTGACCCTCTCAGTCGGTGTTTTCATATCTCTGTTTAGCATGCCTTAAATGTCATTGCAGCTCGATGAACTAGAGCTTTTTGCTACTTCATGTTCCCTGTAAGGCTAACATTCTATGGACACCTGACCACCACACCTACCTATATGTCCAAAAGTATGACAGCCGAACAAGTGATTGAGTAGTGTTTCCAGCGAAGCGTTCTGTTAATACTACAGCATTTTGGACACTTTTACAAATCCAATCTTGTGGTAACAGTTGGGTGAAGGCCCTTTTCTGTTCCACCATGACTGTCCCCTGTGTACAACGCCAGCTCCATAAAGACATGGTGTGACCAGTGTGGTGTGGAGGAACTTGAGTGTCCTGCACAGAGCCCTGACCTCAACCCTACTGAACACCTCTGGGATAAACTGGAACACAGATTGCGAGCCAGATCTTCACATCCAACATCGGTACCTGACCTCACAAATATTCTTCTGGGTGAACGAGCAGAACTTTAACAGAGATACTCTAAAGTCTGGTGGAAAGCCTTCCGGGAAGAGTGGGAGCCATTAGAACTGCAAAGGGAGGCCAACTCCATACGACTTATGGATTTGTAATTGGTTCATCCAGCTTCTATAGTTGTGATGGATCCGGTGTCCAGAAATATTTGGCCATAGAGTATATATATTGGGGAATGTATTCTGGGCTGAAGCAATCGGAGAATACCTCATACTTCCTGTAGTATGTAGAATGTAAGAATGATAAAAGTAATAACACTAGACATCTAGGGGGTGGATGTCCTCCAACCAGTATGAAGGCTTTCAGTTAAGAGAAAGGATTCATGCATGTCCAGGATAAATCTTCATCAGATTGCTACATCTTCACGTTCTCTTAATATCTTTACTTATTCCATAAACCGATGAGGTCTCCTTGAAATGAGAATCACTAGATGGAGGGAAGTCCGGTATACACAATCGGTGACCGGGTAGGGAAGGGTTTGTCAGGATGATGATGGAGGGGTCTCCAGGGACATGGGCTAAAAGAAGGACAACAGATGGAACCAGAATTACCCCGAGGAGAGGCAGGTTAGAGATCACAGCAGGATGTATCTGAACACCTCGGCTGATGTTTCACCAACAGATCTTCCCTACTGACCAAAAAGAGTCGTGTGATGCCGTGTCACTAAAGGTGCCCATCCATTGGTCGAATTTCGGCCAGGTTTTTAATGTACGGGTCGAAATTCGCACAGTGTGTGGGGCTGACAGTTCCCTTTCAGCCGGCATTCCTCGATAAGTTGATCGAAGGAGCGGACTGGAACATTTTTGATCGATCAGAGCCAGCAGCCAATGAGCTGCCCGCTCTGGTCGGGTATTCTGACAGATGCAATGTAAACAGCGGGATTCCTTGACCGACGCGCCGTTTGTGTCGATGGAGGAAGCGGGTCAATTTTCTTTGTTCAGCCTGCGGGTTGAACAAAAAAAAAAAAAACGATAGGTGTATAGCCAGCCTTAGGGTACGGAATGATGGAAGTAGTCGAGAGCTTAACAATCAGTCATACCCATCATGGCAAATTTTGAGAATTCTCACATATCAGTTCAAGTAAGCATTTAGAGATTAAAGGAGAACTATGAGGGGGGGGGGGTGCTTTTCACTCACCTCATAGTTCTAGCCGACCTGGGCCAATGAGACTGTCACAGGTCGGCTCAGTAGATCGAGAAGTGAGCGAACACATACCGGCGCCCGCTCACCTCTCGATCCTGTCACTGCTCTCTGCCGTGACAGGGGAGGGGCTGGATTCCCCCCTCCCCGATCCTCCAGCGCTGACTGGCGGAACGGACGGGGGAGGGGGCGGGTACAGCTGGCTCTGCCTCTAGATAGGCAGAGCCAGCTGTCAGTCACGCAGCTGGGTGGATCCCGGCACAATTGTCGGGATCTGCTTCAGCGTCTCAGTATACCGCGAGCTGTAGCTATATACTGAGCTTTGGGTGACGGGAGGACGCTAGTTTGTGTCCTCCCGTTACCCTAAGGAGAACTATGGGGAAAAGACTTAACCCCATAGTTCCCCTTTAAAGAAACCCAGGAAAAAAAGTTACAGGGTCTCTTTAAGGCCTCATTCACACAAAAACTGCATTGAAAATGCCGCGTTTTTGATGCGTTCCGATGCAGTTTTTTTTTCTCAAAATGCAAATCAGACCATATACGTCACTTCCTTCTTCCTGTCACAGCACTTTTCATTTTCTAGCTCAGACATGCTTCCTTTGTTTGAAGCCATGGTGTTAGTGTTGACTATAGCCATTCTCACCCAACGTAGGAGGTTATTATAATATAATAATAATGATGTCGTTATTGGGTGCACCCCTTGCCGACGGCCAGAGATATTTGATTATTAGATTAGCATCCATGTCTGCCATGTTTCCAGAGCTGCTCCATTCCTAATCTCCTCTACCAACTTACAGGAAGTCCCCAGGAGATGACATTACTAAATCTGTGGGTTGTTTTTTTTTATTTGCTTTGCGCTGGCATGCGTTCTTGATGCATTCCGTCGCGTTTCGATGCAGCTAAAATAGTGCAAGCAATATTTTTCCTGGCTGCATCGGAACGGACTAGTCTGGTGTGAACAGAACATCAGAATCCCATTGGAAATCATTGTGCTGCGTTTTTGATGCAGCTCAAAAACGCAACGGACTGCATCTGGTGTGAATGGGCCCTAAAGTCAGGGTGACTCTAGGGCTCTTCTATGGCTCCAGACCTAGCACATCACTCATGTCAAGGTGGCTCTACGGCTCTTCTATGGCTCCAGACAGTGCACATCACTCATGTCAGGGTGGCTCTAGAGCTCTTCGATGGCTCCAGACCTAGCACATCACTCATGTCAGGGTGACTCTAGGGCTCTTCTATGGCTCCAGACAGTGCACATCACTCATGTCAGGGTGGCTCTAGAGCTCTTCGATGGCTCCAGACCTAGCACATCACTCATGTCAGGGTGACTACCAATGAACCTCAAGCTGAATGTTAATTTTCAGACCAAGACTGAATATTCATAATCATGTAGTTGTCCTGTTGTGACCGAGTCTTTTCGAAGTCTCGTATGTTCTACACTGTCAGGCTCAGTTACCAGCGAGCACTCAGGCCCATTTTTTCCTATGGCTGGTTCATACTCATGGTGGCCTCCAGCTATCCAGAGGAGTACAGACTAGTCACAGGAATTAATCAGATTGTGGTGCTAAAGCTCGTTAAGTACAGAACCTGCCAGTGTGTGAGCAACACCTATGAGGGTGAGGTGCAGGGCTCAACCAAGGGGTAGGCAGAGCGCATAACTCATGCCAGAGTGGCTCTACAGTTCCTACATGCATCGTGGAGAGCACATCACTCATATAAGGGTGGCACTGTGGCTCCTCTATGGGACCAGGCAGAGCACATCACTCCTATAAGGGTGGCACTGTGGCTCCTCTATGGGACCAGGCAGTGCACATCACTCCTATAAGGGTGGCACTATGGCTCCTCTATGGCACCAGGCAGAGCACATCACTGCTATAAGGATGACTCTATGGCTCCTCTATGGGACCAGGCAGAGCACATCACTCCTATAAGGATGACTCTATGGCTCCTCTATGGGACCAGGCAGAGCACATCACTCCTATAAGGATGACTATGGCACCAGGTAGAGCATCACTCATATGTATGGTTCTTCAGCTTCTCTATGGCACCAGGTAGAGCACATCACTCATATGTATGGTTCTCCAGCTTCTCTATGGAACTAGGCAGAGCACATCACTTTCGTCAGGTTGGTTCTACGGCCCGTCTTCTTCCTGGGATAACAATGGTTCCATCTGAAACACTCATGACAGGCAACTCTCAGCAGCGCCATGGGTGTTGCGGGGCTTTTGTTGGTGAGTGACATTTTGTACATATGGAAGGTAAGAACACCGGGCCTTTTGGGGGTAGTTGTGTTTGTTGTACAGACACAGGGGTGATGCCCCCCCCACCCCCAACTTACCATCATCTGTCAGACACAAAGCAGGATCCAAAGAAAAGGGAAAAGGTATTTAGAGAGGCTTTGTCCATTGTATTCACTCCTACTCTGTCCAGTATAGAGGGCAGGGGACTTGTATCTATGGGATGATTCTCACCAAAACACTGGACCCCCACAAAGCACATGGCAGACCAGCACTGCTTAAAGAAGAACTCTGGTACCATCAAAACCTTCTATAATTTCTAAAGGCTCAGCTGGCTCTCTACATATAACTCATTAATAAACCAGCAGTGGTCTCTCTACAGAGGTCCAGCACCAAATCCCACCCCTTCTCGGTGAGTCAGACCTACTGCTCTACAACACCCATGCTCCCTGCTGATTGAAGAGATCTATGCTCTGGTTCAGCTAGGGTCATGTCAGACCTCTGCAGAGAGACCACTGCTTTCACACAGAGCATGGGTCCTCCTCTGCAGCATGCTGGTGAGGGACAGGCTTCTCGACTCTAGGCTGCGGCTGCTTTCTAAAGAAAACACATTGTACTGGAAGTTCAGTTGGGCTTTTAAGGAGACATGTAGTGAAAGGATATGCAAAGTATTGTAATGCTGCTGAAAATGCTTAAAATTCTAATTCTGATTTCCTGGCTGTCATACTGATCCAGAGACTTCAGCACTTTCTAAGGCGTTGACCTGGAACAAATGTGCACGACTATATCATGTCCTCGCGGCTACATTTACACTCTTCTCTGCAAATGTTCTGACAGCCCTGGTCATATGACACGGGCTGATCAATTTAACATAAAAGTTAACTACAGTTGATGGCTCCGTTATGTGACACCTCATGTGCTCTCAGGAGCCGGGAAACAGCTTGTGCATGGCCAGGTAATCGCCAGCGCTGCAATGGTCAGGCTTCAGATGCCCTGAGCGGTCTTCTTCATGCCAAGTGAATGGAAACAAGGGGCCGGACTATAACATATTGCAATTTAAAGCCCCGTTCACATTGAGCGGTTCGCAAATCGCGCATTTGTTTTGCGTGATTTGCATTTTGCGCGATATCGCGCAAATGCTTGCATTGAGCAAGCTTGAATCGCGGCTAAATCCGCTCCAAAAAGGGTCCTGCTGAAGCGACGCATGACCCGCGACAGCAGGACACTTTGCCCCATTGAGAAGCATTGGAGAGCGATATCGCGCGGTAAATTGCTGCGATATCGTGAGAATTACCGCACGAAAAATCGCTCAATGTGAACGGGGCCTAAGACTGAATCGTCCGAATGAGTTCTGTTGTGACTGGGTCTCTTTAAAGTCTCCTGAGCTCTTCACTGTGTGACCCAGCCGGGTTCTGTGAGTAGTGAGCACACAAGCCCCATTTATTCCTATGGCTGGTCCATACACATGGCGGCCTCCAGCCATCCACAGGAATGAATGGGGCTGTGGTGAGGAGCAGGGGGTTCACCTTGGGTGCTAAAGGACCTTTTCCGTCACTGGTGATGGGGGCTAAAGGTAAAGTTGTCCTTTAGGGGCACTATATAATTGGAAGGATCAGAGGAGAGCATAATCTCAGGTGTCTCTCTGACAAACCCCGGAGACAAAGAACTCACACAGCTACGTTTCGGTGTGATGTGAATGCAGCTGGGTGTCGAGAATGGCGCCATGCCAGCTGAACACCCATCTCTGCCACCTCAGAGCCCCAGCTGCAGCTACTACCCGACTCTGCATCCCTGATATGCAGAATTGCTCACAGGCCACTGACAAGCAGTCTCTGGAGAATGTATATTACATAAGACCCCAGCTGTGTCTGCAAGTAAGATGCTGGA